ATATAAAAGAAAGAAAGAAAAGAAAAAAGAATCACTAATGCCAAGGAATTAATGGGAAATAATCAGGTTACAAAAAAAGAACCTCAAGTGTCTGGAAGGAAAGTGGGAAGGGGTGTGCACACTACCTGTGCCCTTCTTGCAGACATAGGGGAGGTTGTAGTTGCAGGGGACATCATTCCAGCGCCCACTCTCGTGTGCCACCATCACCACACAGTCCTCTCCACCCGCGAAGAAGTTGTCTGGCTGATTCTCCCTCCAGTTCTCATATTGCTTTGGAAAGAGAGAGCTGAGTTCATTCTGGTGCCTGTGTGTCAGCCCAGGTCCTGGCACTTCCTGTGGCCAGACCCCTCCCCCACAACAGACACTGGCTATCTCTACTGGGAGGACACAGCAGCCTTCTCTTGCCTCCTCTGTACTCTTCCCAGCTCTCCACGAGCATCAGTCTTAGGTAAACAGTTGAAAAATTGCTGATCCCTGCTTGGAAATACAGGAGGGCTTCCCCCAGGGACAACAGGAAGTGCTAAAGCAGAGGGGCAGGCAGGCAGGGGACAGAGTTCCAAGCCCAGAGAACAACATGTGCAAAGGCCCAGGGGTAGGGATGGAGTCAATGCCAGGTGGTGGGACTGCTTGTTGGCAGGGCCAGATCTCATGGGAGCAAGAAGAAATGGGTAGTTTACAAATTGTGGTAGTGTATGTATACCATGAAACGTGCCTTTAAAGGTTTTGTTCTTGTTTATGTTTGGTTTTGATTTTTCTTTCTTTTTTTTTTTTTTTGTTTGTTTGTTTGTTTTTTCGAGACAGGGTTTCTCTGTGGCTTTGGAGCCTGTCCTGGAACTAGCTCTGTAGACCAGGCTGGTCTCGAACTCACAGAGATCTGCCTGCCTCTGCCTCCCGAGTGCTGGGATTAAAGGCATGCGCCACCGTTGCCGGGCTGGTTTTGATTTTTCGAAACAAGCTTTCTCTGTAGCTTTGGTGCCTATCCTGGAACTAGCTCTGTAGACCAGGCTGGCCTCGAACTCACAGAGATCCACCTGCCTCTGCCTCACAAGTGCTGGGATTAAAGGCGTGCGCCACCACCGCCCGGCCTCTTTAAAGGTATTTTTACTACATTTAAAATTTTTAGGCAGGAGAGGTGGCTCAGTAGTTGAGCACTGGCTGCTCTTTCAGAGGACCTGAGTTTGTTTCTCAGCACCCACATGATGGCTCACAACTGTCTGTAACTCCAGGTCTTCTGGCCCCTGAGGGCACTGCATGGACTTGGTGCACAGACACGCATGCAGACAAAACACTCCTGCGCATTAAATAAATAAGTAAATAAAAAAGAATTTGTTTATTTAAACCAGGCATGGTAACACACACCTTTAATCCCAGCACTCAGGAGGCAGAGGCAAACGAATCTCTGTGAGTTCAAGGCCAGCCTGGTCTACAGTGTGAGTTCTAGGACAGTCAGGGATACTCAGAGAAACCCTGTCTCAAAAAAATTTTTCCCCAAAAAACTATTTATTTCAGAAGGGGACACACATAGCACGTACCTTTGGAAGTCCCCTCTTTTCTTTGATCCCCAGGGATCAAACTCAGGTTATCAGGTTTGGCAATGAACTTGTACCCGCTTGTGCCGTCTCACCAAGCCCATGTAAACCGTTTTAAAGCCATGGTTCATGGCGTCACTGCCATCTTAGTGTTGTGTAACCGTCACCACTGCATCTATTTCCAGACATTTTCATCACGACAAACCAAAATTCTACGCCAATTCAGGAAAAAATAATTCCTCATTCTGCCTGTGTGGCTCCTGGCACACGCTACCTGCCCTGCCTCCCCCACAGCTCCTCTGCAGGCTTCGTTTCAGGCAGTTAGCATTGATGACTTTAGCCTGTCGCTTAGCTTGCTGATGCTTGTTGAGCCAGGGCTCAGCTGCGCAACAATGACTGGTTTACAACGCACTTGGCACCGCAGCTAGAGCTCCCGCTGGCAATGCTCCTCTTGCCTCAGCCGCCCAAGGGCTGGGATGTCAGAAAAGCACCACAAACCACAATAACCACGTTACTTCAGTGTTGTGTATTTCTTCATATTTTACAGCTGGGATGGAACTGGATGTAAGCCAGGTCGAGCCACGCCCACAGCCCCTCACTGGAGCACTCTAGGCAGGACTCTTCTGCCAAGCCACACCCCAGAACTTCTGAGGACCACTGATGCCCACCAGTGGTTGCTCCACGGGAGGGTAAACTGGGACCACTGGGGCTTAGCAGCGTGAGGACAGGAGCCTGCCACTCACCAGTCCTGTGTTGTCTGTCCACTGGAAGTCCCTCTCCACTGTCCTGTCATTCAGACCGATCCACGAGTTCTCATGGCCAAAACCTGTGGACGGAGGACTATGAAAGCATGCTCCTCCCTGGGCTGAAGGAGAAGGGAAGATGTCCAGAGGCCTTCTCTGCCAGCCTAGAGGAGGCTGGGGAGAACCACACAGGGTGGGGCCTGTGAGAGTGAGCATTGCGGACAGCAGAGGGCAGCAAGGGGTGGGCGGGAAGGACATGTGGACCTGGGAGCCAGGAGGCCCGAGCAGGAGGGCTTGCCTTGCAGAGGGAGGAGGTGGACGAAGGAGAGGCCCACCCTCAGCCACATGCAGTTTCTGTAGGTTATGTACTGTGTCAGGAAAGGCCACAACGTTCCCAGCCTGGAGGTGGGCTTACAGAGGTGAGGAAGACCTGTCCGGCCATGTGAGGGAAGGGGAACTGGGCAGCCAGAAAGGACAAATGTGCACAGGCCCTGTCGGTCACCTGGAGTAGTGCTGGCTGGGGCAAGAGGGACAGAGCAGTGAGGAACCCAAACCAGAAGCCAGTTCAGACCATGGATGGTGAGACGTGTTGACCAGTGAACCAAACACTGAACAAGGAGAGGGTCCAGAGGGACAGGGTCAGGGCCATGTGAAGAAACGCATGGCAGCTGCAGTAACGAGTGCCACTCTCTGCAGAGGACCAGACGCCCCAAGTCCATGCCCTGGCTCTATTTGTCAATTCCTACAGTATTGAAAACAAAGCTGGTGGTGGTGGCGCACGCCTTTAATCCCAGCTCTCAGGAGGCAGAGGCAGGTGGATCTCTAAGTTTGAGACCACCATGGCTACACAGAGAAACCCTGTCTCGAAACAAAACAAAAATTAAATAATAATTATTATATAGAATAATACAATAAACAGAAATAATCCAATCTGTAGCCACACATTATCCAAATTAGACATGTGCTTGATGGTTGAAGTCCTGCCACCGGGAACATCACTTTCTAAGGACACACTTGTCTCACTGCATTCTCAGGACCTGACAAGAGTAGGGGAGAGGGGGCTGGAGAGATGGCTCAGTGGTTAAGAGCACTGTCTGCTCTTCCAGAGGTCCTGAGTTCAATTCCCAGCAACCACATGGTGGCTACAACCATCTGTAATAGGATCTGATGCCTTCTCTGGCATGCAGAATGCACATACATAAAACATAAATAAATTAAAAAATTTTTTAAAAGAGTGAGGGAGATAATAGGCATGTAGAGAATATTTGGGGAGCATCAGGGAACTTACACAGGACTTAACAGACATGTGGTCCACCAGGGAGCCAGGGAGTCTGCACTGTCCCTACCGTTAATGAACTTGTGCTCTTCTGGTGAGTGGACACTTGTCAGGTGGCCAGCCCGGCGTCTGCAGTCTCTCTCTGCATCCTCCCAGGCACGCCGATGGGCAAAGTACCTGTAGCAGTGACCCTGGAATTTGTGCCAGCCACGGTCACAGCCCTCTGTATCTGGGGGTGGGACAGGAATGTGAGGGGGGCTTGTTACCTCCCAGGATGCAACACACATTATGCTCAGACATACATGCAGCCACAGCACCCACACACACACAATAGATTAATCAAAAACTTTTTCAATTAAAAAAAAATAGGGCCAGCAAGATACGTAAGTAGACAAGGCTAAGGATGCTTGCACCAAGCCCACGGAGCAGACTAGACATGATGGCAGGAGAGAACGGAGTACCTCAAGGTTTCCCGCTGTCATCCGTGTGCCCCACACCATGCTCATACACAAAACATATAAGTTTTTAAAAAGAAACTTAAAATTTTTAACTATATAAAATAAATAATAAGCTAATTGCCACCCCGCGGGTCCCGGGAGCGGGGACTCACCCTTCTCGCATAGGCTGCCCCCATAGCTGGGGAGGCAGAGGCAGGTGAAGCCATTCACCCCATCAATGCAGGTGCCTCCATTCTCGCAGGGGCTGCACAAGCAGTCGTCAATGTCTGTGAGACACGGGGTGGATCGAGGTCAGAGGTCAGCCTCCACTCAGCTCCCAGCCCACAGGTGGAACCAGCCCCCCCCCCACACCCATAGGGAGGGCAGGATGGCCCTGCAGCCGTGAGGAGAGCGCTTGACACCACCAGACAGGAAAGCGTGACTAGAGCCTTCAGTCAACCTGTGTCACCCTAAACATACACAAGGGTGCATCCCGTGTGCATCTGTGGGAACTGAGAGGCCAATCTTGTTACTCAGTTGTCACTGTCTTGGATTTTAAAATACAACTTTAAAAAAAGAAAGATTTATCTATTTATTATGTATACAGTGTTCTGCCTGCATGTACACTTACATACCAGCAGAGGGCACCAGATCTCATTACAGAGACCTGTCAGCCACCATGTCTGAGAATTGAACTCTGGTCCTCTGGAAGAGCAGCCAATGCTCTTAACACTGAGCCATCTTTCCAGCCCTGTTTTTGTTTTTTGGTTTTTGTTTTTGTTTTGTTTTTTGAGACAGAATTTTTCTGTGTAACTCTGCCTGTCCTAGAACTAGCTCTTGTAGACCAGGCTGGCCTCGAACTCACAGAGATCTTCCTGCCTCTGCCTCCTGAGTGCTGGGATTAAAGGCGTGTGCTGCCACCACCCAGCTAAAATAAAAGATTTTTAAAATGATATATATTTTGGGGTTTTTTGTGGATTTTTTTTTTTAAGAAAGGGTCTCTGTAACTCTCTACGTCTCTATATAATCTTGGCTGTCCTGGAACTCTCTCTGTAGACCAGGCTGGCCTCGAACTCACAGAGATCCACGTGATTCTGTCTCCCAAGTGCTGGAATTAAAGGTGTGCACTGCCATGCCTGGCCCTCATTTGTGTTTTTAGTTATGACTCTATAATTCCTAGTGTGATTGTGAAGTCGAGCAAAGAGTGGGAAATGGCTCTCCTGAGTTACAGCCCCCAGGACACAACCTTCAGCTAACTAGTTTGGGCTTAGCTAATTTTGGTTGATTTGCCCAGACTCAAAGCACAAGGGACAGGACAGTGTTCTGGGGTGGGACACTCACCAATTTCACAGTTCTCCCCGGCATAGCCCTGATCACAACTACAGCCGTACATGGTGCCGTTGGTTCGACAGGTGCCCCCGTGCAGGCAAGGGTTGTTCTCACAGGGATCTGTAGAGTCTGTGGAATGGATAGACAGTGTGAAGATGGACTGGCCACCATGTCATGGAATCCAGACATTTCCCCTCTGTTGACTCGCCAGTGAACAATGGCCCCCATGCTAGTGATAAAGACCTTACCACTTCCGCGACTCCACCACAGCATCTGTGGGACATCCTACTCAGTAAAGTCCTCTTCCAGGTCACACTAGACTCACCAGTCCAATGTGTTTACTCAGGGACCAGAAGACAAATTGTAGGAGTTAATTCCCTTTGTCACCATGTGGGTCTCAGGGCTTGAACTCACATCCCCAGCCTTGGCAGCAAGCACCTTTGCCCACTGAACCCTCTCACTAACCCTGCCAGGTTCCTTCTGTACTTGCTGCTTTTTGTCTCTCTCTCTCTGAGAGCAGTGACACCCCATATGGCAGTCACACACCTCATTCATGCTTAAATTAATTAAAACGAGATGACGTATGCAGTTCTATGAGCCACATGTCAATCTGACTGCTCAGAGAATGTTGTAGAATATCAGTGTGCCAGGCCCAGAACACAGCAGGCATGTAATCACTGCTGGCTAACTGAACATTGGGGGACACCTAGCTGTCCTGTAGTAGCTGAAACATCTGTCCCTGAGCAGACACTGGAAACGGGGGTCTGGTCTGTGCGATGTGCCTGCTGAAGTTCCAGCCCCATGCAAGCATGCTGGGACAGAGGGTGGCATGCAACAATGACAGCCATCAGGTTGCCCCGCCATGACACCTGCCTACGGCTAGCACTGAATCAGCTGAGCCAGTATATTTTGGGCTTTATTAGCATTTGTGCCGTGGGTGTTATGCCACCCCTTCAACTTCCACCACCCAGAGTCCTGGCTGCACATCCTCTATTTAATTTTCCTCCAGATGCTGTTACTTTCGGGGACCCACTTCCCCACAGCCTCTCATAGCCCGAGCTGCCACTGGTCGATTGCAAACCCTGCACTTGGCCTCTTGCCGGCTAACGCCAGAGACACAGGCTCCTTTGCCTTTAATGCTCCTTCCTTCCCGCCTTCCTGCCGCCCTTCTCCCCAACTCCGTCCTTTATGTAGTCTCATACGGGCTGCCCTTGAACTTACTTCTTCCTCGGGTTGACCCCTGCTCCCTGCCCCCTGCCTTTACCTGGGATGGCAGGTTTGTGCCAAGCCCAACTCACAAGCTCTGGTTTTGGTTTTGTTTCTCTGTCCTAGTTCCGGTTCCAGCCACAGCTGTGGAAACATGCTAGGTACTCAGATACTCCATGCCTCAGTCTCCCTTCGAGTAATGTGAGAACCACACAAGAGCTTGTCCCATGGGATGTTACAAAGTTGGACCAATCTGGCTGGGAATGGGGACATATGCCCTCCTCACACCCAGGAGACTGAGGCAGAAGAGTTGGTGAGATCTCTAGGCCAGCCTGGTCTACAGAGTGAGATCCTGTCTCACAGTGGGAAGTGGCTGGAAAGATGGTTCAGCAGTTATGAGCACTGTTCTGAGAACTTTGATTCCCAGCATGCACGTGGCAGTTCACAACCATTGGTAGCACTGGCTCTAAGGGATCCCCATGAGCACTAGGCACATGTGCAGTGTCTGCTGTCGTAGCACTGGGGAGAGGGAGGCAGAGGGATCCCAGGGGCTCACTGACTATCCAATCTAGCTTGATTGGCAAGTTCATAGGCCAATAAGAGACCCTGTCTCCAAAATATGAGCTGGAGAATGGGCATGATGGATGAGCAGCTGAAGGGGGTCAATGCTAAAGCTGACAATCTGAGTTTGATTCCTGGAACCCACATGGTGGGAGGGAGCCCAGTCCCAAAATTGTCCCCTGACTTGCACAAGAGTGCCATGGCATGTTAATGATGGTAATTAAAAACTAAACAAACAAGATGGACAGTGCCTGAGGCTAGGCACCTCTGGACTGTACATGTATCTGCTCAACTGTGCACCTACACGTGTGTGCCCTTGCATGCGCATAATAAAAGACAAATGAGCCAGGTGGTGGTGGCGCATGCCTTTAATCCCAGCATTCGGGAGGCAGAGGCAGGCGGATCTCTGTAAGTTCGAGACCAGCCTGGTCTACAAGAGCTAGTTCCAGGACAGGCTCCAAAACCACAGAGAAACCCTGTCTCGAAAAACCAAAAAAAAAAAAAAAAAAAAAAAAAAAAAAAAAAAAAAAAAAAACAAAAAGATAAATGAGTGAACTTTAAGAAACAAGCTGCATGGGGCTGGAGAGATGGCTCAGTGGTTAAGGGCACTGGCTGCTCTTCCAGAGGTCCTGAGTTCAATTCCCAGCAACCACATGGTGGCTCACAACCATCTGTAATGAGATCTGGCGCCCTCCTCTGGCGTGTGGGCATACATGGAGGCAGAATGTTGTATACATAATAAATAAATCTTTAAAAAAAAAAAAAAAGAAACAAGCTGCATGTAGTGGTTTGAATAAGAACGCCCCCTTAGGCGTTAGCATAGATCTGCATGCTTAATCAGCAGGGAATGGCACTGCTTGAGAAGGATTAGGAGGCGTGGCCTTGTTGGAGGAGGTGTGTCACTGGAGATGCGCGTTGAGGTTTTAAAATGCCCATGCCAGGCCCAGTTTCTTCTCTCTACCTGTATACCAGGATGTAGCTCTCAGCTACTGTTCCAACACCATTCATGCTGCCATGGCAAACCTCTGAAACTGTAAGCCCCAATTAAATGCTTTCTTTTATGTGAGTTGCCTGGCCACTGTGCTCATCACAGAAATAGGACAGCGACTAAGACACTGGGCATGTGGCATACACCTGCTACTCCAGCATTCAGAAGGCCAATGCAGGAGGATTGCCACCAGTTCAAAGCCATCCTTTGTTGGCCACTGAGCCTGCTCCCACCTCCCGCTCTCTTCATGGCTCTAGCCCCTGACATCTCCATGACTGAGTCAATCCAGTTCTAGTTTCTGCCCATGTCCTGTCCTTCTTACCCTGCCTGGGATGAAACCAGATCTAGCTGTCTTCCAGACACAATGAAACTGTTGAAGGCAGGCCCCTGGCATCACACTGCCTGTCCCTCAAAGTGATCTGGATATTTGGAAACTGAACTCCCCCAAATCCAACCCCCCAGTTCTTCATGGAGCCTATGTTTTGGTCAATGACCACATTCCTTGAGTGTTAGAAGTGTTCAGTGTTAGTCATACAAGGTGATGAATGCCTTTAATCCCAGCACTCAGGAGGCAGAGGCAGGAGGAGCTCTGTGAGCTCAAGGCCAGCCTGGTCTACATAGCCAGGTCCATACCAGCCAGAGCCCCCAGCACAGCACAACACAGAAGGCCAATGTAACTTGCCTCCTGACTTCTAGCGCCATCCTTTGCTAGAAATCCCAGCCTTCCCAGGGTATTTCCTCTGCTCAGGGAACCCCCGACCTCCAGTTTCAGGTCCTGGCTGCACTGGGACAGATGTAGAATCCAGAACTTACCCTCCTGCCCGCTGGCCACCTCTTCCCAGAAGTCCTCCAATCCTGGACTCTTGGCCACAACATTCAGATCTGATTCTTTCAAGCCCAAGGACACAGGTGTTAGGGTGCTGGGGGTGTCCCACATCCCAGTGGGTTCCCCTGAGGAGACCAAGGCCGCTTCATCCGTGTTGGAGGTCAGGGATGACCACAGAAGAGAAGGCGGACTGCTAGGAGGCCCTGGTGACCCCTGGGCTACTGTCTGGTCCTGCAGCTCTGGGTGACCTTCGGAGCTTGTGGAGGCCTCTGTGGGCATATCTTGGGCCCCAGTTATGGTCCCTTGGTTCATACTTGAACTCACAGCCACATGGGTGCTAGAAAAGGAACTTTTGGGTTCAGACCCCCAAGTGGCATCAGCACCTCTAGGGACCAGTTCCATGATGGCCTTTAGAGGGCCCTTGGTGGTGCCTCCTGCCAAAGCCACTGTAGGTTCCATGCTCACGGTGACTCCATGGTCTCCCAACAGTGAGTCCAGTTCTTGGCTGGACAGTGGTAGCCAGGTGGCCAGCACCTTGCCTACAGTGGCCTGTCCACTAGATGTGGGACTCCTTGATATGTCCAAGACCTCAGACTCAGTCCCCAGGATGCCAGCATCAGAGGATACAGGATTGGTAGTCACATTACTAGAGTTCAAGGACACCCACTGGCCAGAGATGGGGTGCTTGGGAGCCTGGATGGAGCTGATCCCCCCGATTTCTCTAGAATCTGCAGCAGGGGATTTGTGGTTGGCTTCAACTGGGGCATCCCTGGTGGTCTGAGACAGCATTTCGAGGTTTTCAGCTCCAAGGCTGACAGGCCTGGCAGTGGTGTCACCCCTATCCTGTGGGGAAGCTGGGGAGGGCAGAATGGGGGTCACAATGGGGACAAATGTGGAGTGTGGCAGTAGCCACAATTTGGGGGCACGAAGCATGGCTACAAAGGGGAAGTCTGGAGAGGTGCCATCAGGGGGTGCCTCAGGGAAGGCAACAGTTGGGGCCTCTGCAGGACTGGAGGAAGGGAGAGAGGGCCCCGAGGGAGACCAGGGCAGGTGGTGGGTGGTTGATTTCACACTGGGGGCTTCAGCTGTCCTTGGCTTCAGGCCAGGGCCATTCTCAGTGCTCCTGACAGTAGGTGAGATTGAAGACGGGGACCACATCCAGGACTCTGGCGGACTCCTGCTGCCAAGGGAACCTGTGACATCAAAAGCGTCATGTTAGCTGGCCTGGCAGCAAGCAGTTATGATCCCACATGGGAGACGGAGGCAGGAGGATAAACAATTGAGGCCAGTTTGCACTCCATAGAGGCTCAGCCCCCAGAAACACACTGAGCAGGTGCGGTGCACAAGCCTGTTCTGTGTAGTTGGGGGATCTGGGTTGCAGAGTCATCCCCAGCAAGGAGACAATAAAGACCAGTGTGTCAGCACACCCCTGCCATCCTAGTGCCGGGGAGATCCAGGCAGGAGGACTGCTTTGAGTTCCTGGCAAACTTTGGGTACAGAGTAAGACTCTGCCTCAAAACACAAAACTCAGCATAACATTTGCTGTGAAGACATGAAGACTTGACTCGGAGCCCCAGTACCCACAAAACAGATGGCCACGGCAGCCTGGGTCTTCACTCCAGTCCAGGGGAATCCAAAAGGGGAGTGGAGCCAGGTGGTCCCCAGTGTAGCCAAAGAGGGCGCCCAGGTTAGTGAGAGACCCTGTCACAAAAACTAAGGTGGGGGACCATAAAGGAAGACCTTGAAGCTCTGGTTTCCCTGACTTGTGTGTGTGCACCCACACTCACTCACACACCACACACAGTCACACAACTTACACACACACTCATTTAAACACTCATACATACACACAACAAAATGGGAATTTGGAGGCAGGACTAGGGGCAAGGTTGGGGTGCTGGAACAATGTGTGTCTGTGCTCACCCTTCCTTGCTCCCAAGTTACTCACCTGCCCCTGGCACATCTACTTCATTGGTCAGAATGGCCCAGGGACTGTGACCATGGCTCTGGTCACTCTCTGAGACTTCCTTGGATACAGAAGGCCCCAGGGGACCAGCAGTAAATTCCAGAGTAGAAAGTTGGGCACTGGCCTCTGCTGTTCCAAGCAGTTGGCCTGTTGGGCCCTGTTGCTGGAAGTGTCGACCATTTAACCCTTTGAAGCGGCCCCTCTTCGCCATGGAGGTGGAGGTCACCTGTGTGCCTGAGAGTGTTGTCTCTGCCATATCCACGGCCATGCTGCTGGGGCTGGGGACACCTGTGGAGCTTGTGGCACCTGCAAGCAGCCATGAAGCCAGTGTGGGACCCCCTGGGGTAGGGCCAAGGGTCTTCCGAGGCTCTTGTGTCCATGTCGAGTCCAGGGCTTCATCTTCTCCACTGGACATGAGAGGCTCCTGGAGGTCGGGTGCTGCCTTCTCCTCCTCCCTCAGACTGGGCTCTAGTTCTTGGGCTGGGGGCCCCTCCGCTGACACAATCTCCCCCTCATCTCCAGAAGAGGGGATCTCTGGGTCTCTGTGTTGTGGGGTAAGGTGATGAGCTATAGAAAAAGCAGAAGCCGTTGAGGTGGCCCAGGCACAGCCAGAAGAGTGCCTATGTTGTGGAGCCCCACCCACGGTGGGATTTCTAGGTTAAGACATCTCAGGAAATAGGCCCATGAGGGAGAATACAGCCTTATTCAGAGCCCTCCCCACTAGGTCTGTGTCTTCTTGTCTGGCTATAACCCAAGCTAACCTGGAAAATCAATATAAAGCCCAGGCTTGACCTGAACTGACTAGATAGCCCAGGATAATCTTAACATTTCTGATTCTTGGGCTGGAGAGATGGCTCAGTGGTTAAGAGCATTGCCTGCTCTTCCAAAGGTCCTGAGTTCAATTCCCAGCAACCACATGGTGGCTCACAACCATCTGTAATGAGGTCTGGTGCCCTCTTCTGGCCTGCAGACATACACACAGACAGAATATTGTATGCATAATAAATAAATAAATAAATATTAAAAAACAAAAAAACATTTCTGATATTTTGCCTCTTCGTCTCAGGCCCTCAGGCCCACCCTTGGCTTTATTTGATGATGGGACAGGACTCAGGGACTTGTGTTTGTAAGGTGAGTGCTCGACCAGCTGAACTACAGACGCAGCCTAGTCTATAAAAGGAGGTCCAAGCCAGTCAGAACTGCTCACTGAGACCTTTTCTCAAGAAAAACCAACAAATGAAAGTTGGTCTACAAGCTTGTCCACAGAAGACTCAGCATGGAGCATGCCAACCATCAATGGTTCTTGTGGCCTCCACCAATGATTCTGGCATCTGGCCTTCACCGACTCCTGAATGAGTTCAAGGGAATGTACTAGTGGCAAGTGGTTTCCTTAATGCAGGTGATGGGTCACGCCTATGGAGGCATGGTTTTCATTATGCACTTTCGGGGGTGTGTGTGATCTCAAGGGGACCAACCCAAGGGATGTGGCCATAACCAAGCTTTTCGGGGGGGGGGTCTGTGGTTCCAAGGGAACACACGCACAACCCACAAGTAGCTGCAGAGGTTAGCCCAGGTGTATGTGGTCAGGCAGGGACACCACCTGGGGGTAGGGCTTAGTAAGACACTCCCAACTGTGGACCAGTCTGGATGACACACACCCAGGAAGGGTGGCTCCAGACAATGGCTCTAGTGGGCGTGGCTTTCAGCCCCTGGGGTTCTATCATAACGCACCTCGGAAGCAGTAGGCGTCAAAGCGTGCTCCAGGCGCAGGAAAGCCAGTGCGGTTGGCAAAGCGGTATACAGTGCGCACACCCGGGGCTGGGCCCCCACAACGCCGGCGCGGCGTCTGGATCGGGTAGCGCACGCTGCCGTCTGCCAGCCATCCGGGGTCACACTGGTCCAGGCCCTCATGCCAGGCCAAGTGCAACTGCCCCACCGAGGCTAGCGCCGCACCCTGCCGCTGGCATTGTGCCCGCGCACCTGCCAGGGTCAGTCGGCGGGCGGGGCCCACGTAGAAGACCTCGCCTGGGAGAAGGATAGGGTGGAGGTCAGGAAGAGGTAGGAGAAGGAGGGACGCTCGGAACTGAGGATGGGAGGCTCAGAGGACAGGTGGTTCAGGCTCTGGCTCCAGCTCTGGAGAGCTTTAAGGGTCCTTAGCGGGACCTGAGGGCTGGAAGAACACCTGACACTCAGGGAGAGATGGCCCGGTTCAGGTGCAGCTTTGGAGGGCACTGCGACTTCAGAGAGGTTCATGTGGGCTTAGGGAAATACGGGGATTGGGAAAGCACCTGACACTCAGGGACAGGCGGCCTTGGGGTCCCAGCCAAGCTTGCCTTACCCCCTAGCTCTCGGGCAAAGCAGTAGACATCGTAGAGTTCCTGTGGGTCACGTCTCCCATAGCTCCGAACCCCTGGCTGACTGCTGCGGTCACCATAGCAACCAGGACGCGACTGAGTGATTGGATACCTGACGACGAGAGGGGAGTGGCTATCAGACCTGTGCTCCGGGAAACCTCTTCTTCAGGATCAACCCCCAGTCTCAGGGCTCCCTCACCGAACCGTGCGGTCTGAGAGCCAGCCCGCGTCGCAGTTGTCAAAGCCATCTTCGAAGGCAGCCTGCAGGTGCCTTGGGGCGGCGATGGTGGCAGAGCTTAGGCGGCAGGCCTCCTGGGCCTCAGTGAAGGTCAGCGCATAGCGGTCCCGGGCAGCCCGGTAGTGGAACACGACTCCTGTGGGGTAAGTGCCAGGCAGCCGGAGAGAGGCTTATGGCGGAATCTTGGAGAACAGACCTCTCCCGAGCAGACATTTTAAAGACAGGGTCTCATCGGGTGTGGTGCGGCATGCCTTTGACCCTAGTACTTGGGAGTTCGAGGCCAGCCTGGTCTATAGAGTGAATTCCAGGATAGCCAGGGCTACATAGTGAGGCTGTGTCTCAAAAAGAACAATGAAACACACACACACACACACTCACGCAAAGAAAAAAACATTGTCTCATTTAAACCAGGCCGGACTGAGACCCACAAAGCCCCATGCACGCCTGCTTCTGAGCTCACCCCCACACCCAGATCAGTTTTTCTTAATCTGTTGGGAAAACAGAGATCACCCTGGATTGTAGGGTGCACAGTGTGAGAGTTGGGCACACACTCTCACACAGTGTCTAACTGACACTTTAAAGATTGACTCACTTAACCTTCTAAAAAGATTTGTATCTAAAAAGGTCTAGAGAGATGGCCACAAGGTTTAAGAGCATTTTTGCTCTTCCAGAGGTCTCAGATCCACATGGTCCCAACATCCACATGGTGACTCACAACCATCTTTAACTCCAGTTCCATGGGATCCTGCACCCTCTCTTCTGTTTCCGTGGCACCCAAGGTCACACATGGTGCACAATATACAAGCAAAGTATCCATGCACAGAAAATTTAAAATTAAAAAGGTTTTTTGTTTTGTTTTGAAGCAGGGTTTCTCTATGCAGTCCTAGCTGTCCTGGAATTTGCTCTGTAAACCAGACAGGTCTCAAACTCACAGAGGCCATCTGCCTCTGCATTCTGAGTGGGATTACCAACCACAGGACGACTTGTAAGGTGAACCTCAGTGGCTGGATCTCAGGCTTGGTCCTCCCCTTCCATCTTCAGTGCCTCTCAGTCCATCCGAGGACCTCCCTGCACTGTACAATGCCCCCTCATCTTCAGGGCTCCCCTTGTATGATTAGCCACCCGTCTTCTGTTTTATCCCCTATGGTTTTAGCACCTCATCATCTGTACTTGGCTCCTCTGCAATATCCCCACCTTTTCACAGTAGCTCCTCCCCTTCTGTCCTGAGCATCTTCCTCTCCATCCTCAGACCCTCTCTTTCCAGCTTCCTTTTTCTTCCTTTGACACTCTTCCTAGGATTCCTGGGCCCCTCCTCCTAGCCTCATCCTAGGTCCCTCCTCTTTCATCTTTGACCACACCCATTACCTGATGCCACCTCACCTGTCACCTCCAGGGTTGCCAGATCCTGCTCATCCTCAATACCTCTCACTACTTGGCAGCGATACAGCCCAGAGTCGCTGGCCCGAAGCGGCCCCAACAGAAGGGTAGCGTTAGTTCTGTGCCGGGGGTAAGCAGGCAATGACACCCGTCCCTGCCAGTCCTTGGCCACACGCACCACATTGTCCTTGGCCACCAAAATGGGCAAATCCTGTCGCTGGCCTGATGCAGTCCGAACCTTGGTCCACTTGATCCGAGGAATGTCTCGAAGGGTGCCTAGCAGTGGCTTCCAGGTAAAGAGGCAGGGTAGGGCTACCAACTCTGCCAGGGCAGCACGGATGGGTCCCGACCCTGACTTCAGCATGTGAAGCCCCTTTTCCATGGTAGTGGTATCCTGTGTGTCTGGGATGGAAAGAGGACCTGAATCAGTGGTGAGGTCCAGCAGAACACTGACATTTCTTGCTTTCACGGGTTAGCTTTTCTCTTTCAGTTTTCTTTCACTAACTCTTTGTTTTGTGTATTGAGACAGTATCTCACTATGTAGGCTTGGCTGGTCTGGAACTCACCACATAGACCAGGTTGGCTCAAACTCACAGAGACCCTCCTGCCTTTACTTCCTCAGTGCTGGAAGTAAAGGCGTGCACCACCACGCCCAGCTTCACTAACCCTTTTTTACAGAGAGACCAGGCTGCCCACGCAGTGTAACAGTGCAAGAAGGGACCACCGGGCCAGACCACTCATGGCTCTGCCTCTTGTGGGAGAATTCCAAAGGCTTCTCATATGGGTGAGCTATGGTTGTCATCACTGCTTTGCTGTGCGGTCTTGGGAAAGTCACTTTCCTTCTCTGAGCCTCAAAAGTTAAGCCAGAGGCAGACACTGGAAGCAGTGTTTATAGGGTAATTTCCTTCCTTTTTCTTCTGGTTTTAGACAGAGTCACCTATAGCACAGGTTAGCCTCAAACTTAGTATACAGCTCAGGATGATCTTGTGCTTCTGATCCTCCTGCTCTATTGGCCAGCTGCTGGAATTACATGGGTGTGCCACTCTGTTGGGTGTGCTCAATCAAGTCACTGAATTCCCACAGCCATCTGTAGTGGCAATGGCTTGTCTTCTAGGGACACTGAGAAACGGAAGATCAGAGAAATAAATATTTCTGCCTATGGCCACAGAGAAACTCAACAAGGGACTCATAAAGCCTGGGATTGACGCCATTGGGGGAGATTCTAGGGGAGGCACAGAGATCTTCCTTCCCTTTCCCACCTGCCACTCTCCCTCCCCCACCTTTCTTCTTCAGATTGTTTCAGCAAAAGACAGTGACAGGCGCCCTCCAGCCTCTGTAGCTGTAACTAAAAACACCTTTCAGGTGTCCCGCTTCTTTTTCACTGCTCAGAAAACGGTTTCAGCTTTTCTCGTTTTATTTTGTAGGCCCAGCTAGAGGAGCAGCAGGAGAAGATTCTGAAATGAAAAAACATCATCCCATCCCGCTGACCCCCACTCCAAGAGCCCCACTCACCCTGATCCCCAGTCACTAGGAGCAACAGTCTCAGCACCAGAAGGCTGGAGGCCCAGACAGATGCGACCCCCATGCTGGAGCTAGGAGCAAAGCAGAGGGAGGGAGGAAGGGTGAGTCATGGCACAGACCCTCCCCCGACCTTGAACATGAAGGAACCAGATGGCTCATGCAAGAATTAGGAATCAAGGGGCTGGAGAGATGGCTGCTCTTCCAGAGGTCATGAGTTCAATTCCCAGCAACCACGTGGTGGCTCACAACCATCTATAATGAGATCAGCACCCTCTTCCGCCATGTGGGCATACATGAAGGCAGAATGTTGTATACATAATAAATAAATAAACCTTTAAAAAAAAAAGAACTAGGAATCAAAACTCGAAAGGCCAGCATGTCACCGAAGGTCACAGAGCAAGAAAGCAGAGGCCATGCAGGCAGGATCTGAACGGCAAGCATCTCAGCTGAGAACCCAAGCAGTGAGGCAGGGTGCAGATTAGCGGTGGGACACCTGCTGAGCTCACAGGCCTAGGTTCTGGCCCTGCATCTTCCGGGCTTACATAGATAGGCCTTGGGTTCTCTTCCCAGCCCTTGCCATTCTCCTGGGGGCCCTGTACCCCACTGAGCACAAGTGAGCCTGGGGCTCTAGCCCTGCATATCACTCCATGTTGGGTGGGTTTGGTGGCTCACATGACCTCACATCTCAGATCTGGGGGGGTGGGGACCGAATGCACAGGCCGCCATGATCTGCAGAGCAAGTTCTCTGCCTCTGCCTCTTCCTTGCTGTGTGACTTTAGCAAGGAGCTTAGCTTCTCTCTGCCCCCCTTCCTTGTGGGTCAGATGAGGATAACAGCTGGCTGGAAGGGATGGATGCGTCAACTCATACACAGTGTTTTGAGCAACTTGGTTTAAAGGAGAGCATTTTAGCTGTGACTAATATCATCATTAAACTTCACACTGCCAAGTCTGAAATCCTGTTTCTCAAGTCAGCTCTCACCATCAGACTGGGCTCCTAAGGGAAGCAATGGGTCCTCATCCTTCTGGGGGTCCTCAGGTTCTTCCCAGACCCACTTCTCCCAGCTGACACTTCCTCTGTCCTGGCCATCCCCTCCAGAGGGGCCATGTCCCACCTGGTATACGGTAACTACTGATTGCCTGTGAGCAAGGTTTACCTCGTGTGTCGAAATACATCCATTCCCCAGGGATTCTTCAACTAAACTTTGCTTCTCTCTCAACTCAGACCCCTTCCAGGGGCTCAAAGGAAACTGGAGAGGGGAAGTCATAGGGACACTTGCAAACTGGCCCTTCAGGCTATCAAAGAAGAGCAGGCCCTGTGGGTGAGGTCTCCAAGAGGCCTCGAAGAGCACAGCTCCGCCCCGTTCTCCTCCCGGTGCGGACCTGTCCTTGGTGCTGAACTCTGAGGCGTAAAGCTGACCCGCCTCAGCACCCAGAGAAGGCTAGCTGTTGGTTTTGGGTTGCACAGTAAAGCACAGGCTACCAACTTGTAAATGCCTACAAACTCTAACTTCAACCCAGGCCATCCCCATTTCTTCTCCCTGGGAACCTTAAGCCAATGTGAGGTACACTAGTGACTGAGATTACCCCATAGGGATCTAGGGGAGATCAAGGCCAGAAAGATGTGTTCTCTCATTCTCTTTCTCCTCAGCCCTCTCCACATAATTGACTTCATTTGGGTGTGGTGGCCAAAGACTGCCATCCTACACTTAGGAAGTGGAGGCAGGAGGATCAATGAGTGATCAATGAGTGTAGAGTCAACCTATACATAATACCCAGTCTCAAAAAAAAAAAAAAGAGTATGGTGGCACACACCTTTAATCCCAGCACTCAGGAAGCAGAGGCAGGTGGATCTCTGTGAATTTGAGGCCAGCCTGGTCTACAGAGTGAGTTCCAGGACAGTCAGAGCTACACAGAGAATCCCTGTCTGGAAAACAATCCCCCAAAAAATCCATGTCACATTCTTCCAACTTACTCAGCATGCAACTCTGCACCAGGAACCTTGTTTCCCCATAACTCAGTTTCCCCACCTGTAAAATAAGCCTCATCCAGCCCAAACCCTCTGAAGTTTTCTGGAAGGAGTGAGCTAAGACTTATAAAATACATCAAATTTAAAAAACAGCTCTTTGTACACAAAACCTTGGGAACACCCTAAAAATAACCCAAGGTAGCCCAACACAGTGACAAACGTCAGCCTCACGGTCCTCCCTCTCCCTTTCCCTCACACCCTCACACCCCCACAGGCTTCTCTTAAAATACCTCCTCCCCTGGGCAGCCAGAGTTGAGTGGCAGCCTTTGGGCTGAGGTCTGGACCCACCCACTCATGAATGATGCATTAGCCTCATGTATATGCGAGTAGGGGCCTGCAGGGGAGAGGGGAGGCACCCCAACCTATCTCTTGTCTCTTCACTGCGTTGGAGTTGGGCTCTTATCATCCAGTGTCGCTGAGTGTTTGCATGTGCATCTGGAGGCTATGTCTGGACAAGGGTACACCAGTCTGTACCCTACTGTGTGGGGACATTAGTAACATGAGCTTCTGGAGGATTTCTAGTTCTGAACAAAGCCACACACACTCATACACATGCACTTGCAGTCACTGTGGGTTCCTGGCCTGAGACTTACAATGGGTTTGTGTGCACAGGCATGAACATGGAATACTGTAGAGGAAAAAGGAAGCCAAGCTAGGGATCCTCACCCCTGCCATGCCCCTCCTATGTTGCCCGCTGCAACTCCCAAGCTCTGGGTCACCTGTCCATATTCACAAAACCCACTGCAGACACTCTCTCAGGAGAGATACACACGGTGACTTCTAGGGAGACTAAGAAAGAGAACCCTTGCAGGCTCTACACAAAGACACCCACAGTCTGGAGCCCTCTGTTGAAGCCCCAATGGATCAACCACCTGGCTGGCTCCTTCCACAGGCGGCCACACCAGCCCTGAGTACAGAGTTAGGACGCATATGGCCTTGCTGATCAATGCATGACCACTGGTAATGTGGCCCCCATCACAGTTTTGAAAGAAAAGACTAACTGCAGTTCTATCAGCCACAGGAGACCCCAGGCACCCTGATATTCCTCTCCTCATGGCCTGTTGACACACAAAGACCCCAACAAAAGGGCTGGAAATCTTCCCTATTTCCCCGTGGGGATGTTCAAGGGCCACTGATCTGGGGTGGCACAGTGCACGCATTCATCCCTTCCTAACTGGTCTCCACATGCCCAGCTTGGGCCATCGCCCACCCTGGCCTGCCTCAGCCTGGCTTCTTCCCAGCCACACTTAGAATGAACAAAGCCACACTGTGATGTATGGATGGGAGTCACTTGAATACCTCAGTGGTGGGTACCCTCCCTTCTAGCTCCTAGTCACCCAAACAGTTTTTAAAATGCACCATTCAGACAGACTAGGGTGAAGCACCCATGTGAAGGGCTGACATGACGTAAAGATGTGCAACACCTGGGGGCTCTCTGTCTCCCGCAGGACCATCCAGGTCCTGGACATCCATATTAGGGCAGACCAGAACCCACACCCAGCATTAACACACTTGCTGGGAAAAGGGACTGCACCCCAACTCCACATCTGTTAGAAAAATACCCTCCCCTTAGGATGGGGCAGCCTGGGCCTTCTTCGCGGCCAGGATTCAGTTAGAGGACAGAGACCTGACCAACACTCAGCTGCAGACACTCCCCACCGCAGCCCTCCATTCACTTGTAAATTGGAAGTCCCCTCTTCAAATTCCCGGGGTGTCTCAGCTAAAACACCGGGGGTACCCAGTCCCGAGATTCTCTGGGTTATATGCAGGATGCCCTTGTCTTTTTTCCAAATTCGGGGTGCCCCTCCCCTAGACCTAGCTTCCAGTGCCTCCTGCTTGATACAGAGAACTATCTGCAGCCAGGGACCCTTCCCACGGGAGAATCTTTTCATTGAATCCTTTCATTCAAGACTACCTCCGTTCCCACACCCCTAAGACTGCCCCTCATGCGCTCGGCCCCCCCAAACTCGGATCCCCTCCCCCACTGCCCCCTGCCCATCCCCATCCAAGTGGAGGGCTTCGCCTCCCCAAGTCCGATTCCTTGTTGCCCCCCCCCTCACTGCGGGCCCCCCACACCTGGCTTCTTAGCGCGGACACATCCCCACGGCCCCGGGCACAAAGGACTCTGTGATGGATCCGGGTGCTTCTCCAGGCCCTGCGCCCGGTGCTCAGCATGCCAGGCTCAGCCTCCTCGCTTATAAAGGACCACAGGTATGCTGTGCGCATGTGCAGCCCCAGGCCTCCAGCTGCGCTGGTAAGGGCGCCCAGACAGAGATTCGCTTCACGTCTCTCTTCGACACAGCCCAGGGACAGCCTACACCAGACTCCGCCCCCATTCTTTTTGCCCGCTTAGGAACCCCATTAAAGGACCCCAGTAAGCCTCAAGAGGCTTCTCCCTTCAATTTACAGGTGGGGAAACCGAGCCTCAGGGAGGTAAGAGTGCCAAGGTCACGCTGAGGGAAAGAGCAGAGAGAGATTCGAATCTGACTGCCCAAGGCTCCAAGTACAGTTAAGTACTCCTGGAACAAAAATGGGCTTGGAGGAGCCACTGGTCACAGGTCACAGGTCACAGGTCACTGGTCACAGTTTGGCTTCTGCTGCCAAACCTGAGGACCTGAGTTCAAGTCTTGGGACCTACAAAGTGGAGGGAGAGAAGTGACCCCTGTGACTTGTCTTCTGACCTCCACCCACACAAGATAAGTAAATGTTAAATCATCACGCACAGAAGCTGGGGCTGAGAACTGCAGAAGTGCTCCAGCAGCCCAGCCAAGTCCACGCCATTTGCTCCATCACTTACCCACCCACCCCTCACCCACCCCTCATCCATCCCTCACTCACCCACCCCTCACTCACCCCTCACTCACCCCTCACCCATCCCTCACTCACCCCTCACCCACCCCTCACCCATCCCTCACCCACCCACCCCTCACCCACCCCTCACC